GCGTTTTGCGTGGATGTCAATATGCGTGTATCAGCACCCTCGTCGCATTAAATGCTTCGTCTCGGTCAGTAAAGCCTTTGTTTCTTACCAGGGGATTTTGGCCAGCTGCTGCCATGCGATGACTCGGATGCAGGTAATTCTCCTTCGGCCGCTTCAGGGAATTCGGCATGAGCTTCAATTTGTGATCCCTCGGGGGTTGATGGACAATGTCTCGTTCCAGTGGATTGGTCGGCAGGCCAATCGTGCTGGGATCATCTTCAATGCGGTCTCGGCGTTTGTTCGGGACACGCGTACCCTGGGGTTACGGCTGCAACCTGCAAAGTCTGGTTTTTTGCTTCATCTCGCGAGGCTGCGCGCGCGGTCAAGGTACGGGCGGGGATGCTCAAGCTTTCCGCTTTTCGGTCTGCTCGGAACTTCGGGCACGATTCTTTTGCGGGCGGCACCGCCCACAGAGCCCAGGAGCGAAAACGTTTGGGTACTGTCTTGGGACGCCGTGGCAGATCTCGTGCCTTGAAGCGGGCTGGAGGTTTGAAGGTCCGGACGCTGTGGCGTACCGGTATCATGCCGTCTGGAAGCCATGGAGCTGGGGACATAGGCCTAACCGACTCCACGCTCATGAAACTTCGGTCGTTTGCTGGTGAGCTTGTAGGGGCTCGTAAGGGTCTTGCGTCCCTTACAGTCTACACGTGCATGCAGTCGGATCGGATGTACGATCCCACTTCTGATGCCACCTGCCCACTGCTAGCCCGTTATGCCGCGTGGCTGTGGGACGGCAGGACCTCCGCTTCGCAGCTCCGTGCGGCGTGGGAGGCCATTCATGACAAGATCGGCCAGCAGGGATCCTGGCAGATGTGCTTTTGACCGATCTCTGCGGTGATCCTCACCCTGCGCAGGATCGGTTGGGACATGGCGGCGCCCCACGTGTTGATTTCGGATCGAGGCGAAGCTGTGTCCATGTACGAGTTTTCGCCGTCCGAGATGCGAGCTTTAGTCCGAGACGGCGTCGAGCGCTGGCTCTGGCGTAGGGTTCCGTTTCATTGGCCTGAGGCCGCTGGAAACGAGGAGATTTGGATTCGAGCGATGCGCTTCGCGGCGTTGTCCCTCCCAGCAGGTGCTCGCCAGGGGTCGGCTCGGGCCCTCCTGTCTGGGGGCCTTTGGCCCCCCGAGCGGAAATTTTAGGCCGGTCTTTGCGCGTCAGGTAAGTGTGTCTTTTGTGGCGCAGAGCGTGGTACGCTTGGCCACCAGCTGTACGATTGCCCTGCTGCATTCGCAACCGAGGAGGATGAGGCGGAGGCTCAGTCTCCTTTTCCGGACGATGTGTGGCAGCAGCGGCAGGCCCTTCGGGAGCAAGGAATCTCTCCTCTGGGTGGGTCGGATTGGGATGTCGTTCCTCTCTTGTACGGCCTCCCTCGCATCCCGGTTAGGCTGCCGCCGCCGCTGTCCCATCCTTTCGTGTTGCATTGGGGTCTCACGGAAGGTATTTGGGGCCCGTTTTTTTTCACCGACTGCAGTGGATTGACTGGCGCGTGTCCCGAGGCGGCGAGGTGCGGTTGGAGTGTGGTCGAGATTGCGGAGGATGGCTGGCCTCTTCGAGCGAAGTTCGGCGGGCTCCCAGGACTCTTTCAAACAGTGCTTCGGGGCGAGCGGTGGGCTGGCCTTGAGGCGATGCGCGTGGGCCCTGCTGGCCTCACGATCGTCAGTGATCACCTCAGTTCCCAACCACCCTGTGGTGTTGGGTCCTCGTTTTGAACAGACAGCGCCCGCGTCCTTCCTCCCGCTGCCCCCCCTCCCTCTCCTGTCCGTTATTGTGATTCTTTCTTTTTCCGAACCATCCTGTGGTGTTGGGTCCTCGTTTTGAAGAGACAATGCCCCGCGACACTCCTCCTCTCCTCTCCTCCTCCTCCCCCTCCTCCTCCCTCCTCCCATAGGAGCGCCGCCCTCTCTCCTCTCCTCTCCTCTCCTCTCCTCTCCTCTCCTCTCCTCTCCTCTCCTCTCCTCTCCTCTCCTCTCCATTTCGGCACACCCCTCACACGTTTCGTGGCCCCACAGGGAACTCCACCGAAGGCCCCAGTGGCTGCGCTCGCATGCGCCCGCTGCACCCATTTCGGCAGACCGCTCACACGTTTCTTGGCCCCACAGGGAGCTCCATCGAAGGCCCCAGTGGCTGCGTTCGCATGCGCCAACCGCACCCATTTCGGCACACCCTTCACACGCTTCGTGGCCCCACAGGGAGCTCCACCGAAGGCCCCAGTGGCTGCGCTCGCATGCGCCCACCGCACCCATTTCGGCAGACCGCTCACACGCTTCGTGGCCCCACAGGGAGCTCCACCGAAGGCCCCAGTGGCTGCGTTCGCATGCGCCCGCTGCACCCATTTCGGTACACCCCTCACACGTTTCGTGGCCCCATAGGGAGCTCCACCGAAGGCCCCAGTGGCTGCGTTCGCATGCGCCAACCGCACTCATTTCGGCAGACCACTCACACGTTCCGTGGCCCACATGGAGCTCCACCGAAGGCCCCAGAGGCTGCGTTCGCATGCGCCCACCGCACCCATTTCGGCACACCCTTCACACGTTTCGTGGCCCCACAGGGAACTCCACCGAAGGCCCCAGTGGCTGCGCTCGCATGCGCCCACCGCACCCATTTCGGCAGACCACTCACACGTTTCGTGGCCCCGCAGGGAGCTCCACCGAAGGCCCCAGTGGCTGCGTTCGCATGCGCCCACCGCACCCATTTCGGCACACCCTTCACACGCTTCGTGGCCCCACAGGGAGCTCCACCGAAGGCCCCAGTGGCTGCGCTCGCATGCGCCCACCGCACCCATTTCGGCAGACCACTCACACGCTTCGTGGCCCCACGGGGAGCCCCACCGAAGGCCCCAGTGGCTGCGTTCGCATGCGCCCACCGCACCCATTTCGGCACACCCTTCACACGTTTCGTGGCCCCACATGGAACTCCACCGAAGGCCCCAGTGGCTGCGTTCGCATGCGCCCACCGCACCCATTTCGGCACACCCCTCACACGTTTCGTGGCCCCACAGGGAGCTCCACCGAAGGCCCCAGTGGCTGCGTGCCAATGCGCCCACAGCACTAATGTTGTCACACCCCTTGCACGTTTCGTGGCCCCGCAGGGAGCTCCACTGAAGGCCCCGGCACAGCCCTCATGCGTTTCGTGGTCCCCTAGGGATCGCTACCCAAGAAAATATTCACACTTGCGGTACGCACAGCTGCATATGGTTGGGTCCTTCGCCAGGATAATTTTGTTCGCGAGAGCCAGCGTTGGGGTTCCGAGCTTGAGTGCGGCCTCGCGCGCCACCCGTCGATCTGGCGAAAGATTTTTAGATTGTCTGAGCATTTGGGTTCGAGGCCGTCGATGGCCTGGACTCCCGCGCATCGGTCGTTGGAACTGTTGGCGGAAATCCACCGTTTCATGGGAAATGCTTGGGCTGATTTGTTCACCAAGCTCGAAGCTAAGGACGTCGCGATTGCACAAATCGCTGTCGATGCCCTCCAGAGCTCGGTGAAAGAGTGCACGTGTACCTTTGAGTTTTTGTCGAGGGCGGTGCAGCTGATTTGCGCTCGTCTTGAGGCGCAGGACTCTGGCCCTCCTTTGCCCAAGGCGGTGGCGGAGAGGCACGAGATGGTTGTCCTTCTCGCCCATGATCCCGTCCCCCTGGCACCTGGCTCGCCTGCGCTGCAGTGCAGGCGTTGTTTGGCTGTGGCTCGGACCCCTGCCAGTGTTAAGATGCTTCTGAAGCCAGGAGCCAAGTGTGATCCGCCGCCCATGCTCCAAGCCCTCGCCCTGGCTGTTGAGCAGTGGCGTAGCCAAGGGGATGGGGAGGCTGCTGGGGTGGCTGCTGCTACTGCTGCCGACGGGGCGGTGGGGAGTGCGACCCTTTTCGAATGCGACGGCCATAGGGTCCTGCGTTCTAGTCCATTCTTGTTCTGTATTCGATGTGGGGCTCGCGTGGCCATCGGTTCTTCCAAGATCGATGCCCTTGGGGAGGTCTGCCCTTCGGCCCCCCCGAACCCCGCCCGGCGCAGAGCCAGGGACTGGTTCGCCGACGGGCGGCACCCAGCCACCAGAGCTAAGCTTTAGCTTCGGTTGGGTTTCTTCCGCGTGTGATGGCCGCCTGGGTGTCGCACGCAGCGCGTCTTATCTTTTAAGTTGTGTTTCTTTCCATCTGTTCTTGCCCTGGCGTGCTCTCCATTCGTTGCTTGTACGTTCTATGCTGCGTCCTGCGTCCTCCTCCTCCTCCTCCTCCTCCTCCTCCTCCTCCTCCTCCTCCCCCTCTTCCATGCGCGGCAGGAGCGAAACGATTGGCGGTGCAATACGCGTGGCTGGAATGAGACGCGGCGCACTTCGCGCGCTGGACATCTTGTCGCCGACGATGTAACATGAGAGGCTGGAGCGGGGCGCGGCGTACATCGCGCGCGGTCTTGTTTCTCGTCGACGTTGCTCAATACGCGGCAAGAATAGGACGCAGCTCATGTCGCGCTCTGAGCGTCTAGCCGCCCACGATATAAGATGAGCGACAGGCGTCGGACGCGACGCACTTGCTTCTTATGTTGTGGGAGGGCGGGTGGGAGTGGACGGAGCCCTCAGGCTCCTTCGAGCTGGCTAACTTGACCTACCCCCCACCCCCCACCCCCTGCGCACGTTGCTCCATGAGTGCTTTGTTGCAGGCTTGCAGAAGGAGAAGCAGACAGACGAGGTGACAAGGGGGGAGACGATACAGATGAGGATGAGACGAAAGAGAAGGCGAGGGAGGAGGAGTAATAAGTGAGGGGGGGGACGGGAGGGGACGGGGAGGAGGGTGAGGGGAAAGGGAGAGGAGGAGCTGGAGGAGTGATGGGGAGGAGGAGGAGGAGGAGGAGGAGGAGGAAGAGGAGGAGGAGGAGTACAGCGACGACCACGACGACGAGGTGGAGGAGGCGGTTGCGGCACAGCATCACCCCGTCTCGCGAGTCTAGGACGAAGGCGACGCCACGGCTGCAGGGAGGCGATCTGCGATGCCACCTCCGCAGTGCGGCGGGAGCCTATGGCGATCTTCACCACATCGGCAGTGCCGCGCTTGGCATACGCAGCTGTGTGTCGGGACGGGGGGTGAGCGATTGCAGCCCAACCCTTCTTTTACTCCTTCTCCGGGTCGTCATCATCAGCATCATCACCCTATCAGTATGCCTTCTCTTGTTCCTCCTCCTCATCATCCCCCTCCTTCGCCTCTGTCTCCTCCTTGCCCTCGCCCTGTCCTTCATCATCCTCGTCCAGCCTCTCCTCCCCATCCTCATTATCATCCTCTTCTCCCACATCCTACCCTCCTCCTCTCCCTCCTCCACCTCTTCCTCATCTCACTCTTCCTGCTCCTACTCCTGCTCCTATTCGTATCTCTCTCTCTATCCCTGCCTCCCTCCCTCCCTCCCTCTCTCTGCCTCTCTCTCTCTCTCTCACCCCCTATCCCCTCTCGTTCCTTCGCCCCCACTCCTCCTAGGGCCTCTTCTTGGAATTCAGTCGGTTGCGCATTGTCATTCGCAATTGATGCTGTATGGGCGTGATGCATTCGGGTGCAGCTGAGAACCCGTGGGTGGTTAGCTACAGAGGAGGCGGAGGAGGATACACCCGGCGAAACTTGAAGGCGAAACGCGACGAGCGACCACTCGACAACCGAAAGCTCGGCGGCAATCGAGGTCGATGGGACAGCCCACCGTGCAGCTTTGATCAGGGTTTGGTCGAAGCTGACGCAAGGCAGGAAAACAAACTCGTGGGCTGGGAGTGCTTCCCCACTGGGCCCCGATGGGCCCGAGTCCGGCGACGCGACGGACGTCGGACGGGCCCCCGGAGCACCCGCCGTGCCCTGACGAATGTCAAGACCTCTAAAGCCCACCGAGGAGGAGCAGGAGGAGGAGGAGGAGGAATGAGGAAGGAGGAGGAGGAGAAGGAGGGCAAGCTCCCGGCCCGACGGGGCGCGCCGACCACCTTCGGCGCACCGTCTCGGGGGCCCCCAACGGCATCCCCAAGGCGGTGCGCCGCCAGATGGGGCGGGACGGAGGAGGAGGAGGAAGAAGAAGAAGAGGAGTCAGAAGAAGAAGAAGAGGAATAAGAAGAAGAAGAGGAATAATAATAATGAGAAGAAGAAGAAGAAGAGGAGGAGGAGGAGGAGCTTGAGAGGGACTGCTGACAGAGTAGCGGCCCACCGAAGGAATTTCAGGGCGTTCTGCCTCCTATGGGCACCCGAGAGGCCAACCACCAGATCCCGACCAACATCCATGAGGCCTCTGACCCACAATCCAGACACGGTGGCGGGGTTTGCCCTAGGCAGCTGGATAGCAGCGCGAAAGAAAAATTCCAGCTACTCGAGACCGACTGGGCCAGAGCGTGCTGCTAGCTCCCGTGCGCGGCCCAGATTAGTTCCAGTTCGCACGCAAATGGGGGGCTCTGCGAGCCCACTGAGCGCTCAGAAACGACCCAAGGCAGCTGCGAGTGGTCACGGGAATCAGGATGGATGGGCGGCATGCTCCGACATGGCCCCAGAACACTCCCAAAGGCGCCCACGTAGCCCCAAGATGACCTCGACGGCCCCGAGCAAGCCCCAAGAATTCACGCCGACTGCAACATTTTACGTTCTTCGATAACCCTTTACTAGACACCAACCAACTGTACCTGGCGTACACTCCGCGTCACGATTTTCGATGCCGCGAGTCAAATCCACAAACTCTCAGGGAGCGTCCAGCGGTACATCGCTGGCGTCCTCGATTCAGGGAGGTTTTGGTCTGGCCCCTGGCGAATCCCGCTGGGCATTTTGACAGACATGAGGGTTCCAAAGGGGGGTTGGGGGAGGGGGGTTCCACGGAGCCCCCCAGGGGCCTCGCAGCCTCGCCAAAATAGTGGTTGTGAAGCCCTTGGGGGACCCCTCCTGGAGCCTCGCACAGCCCAGCCCGCAGGAGGGAGCGGCCGGATCTGAAGGGCGCACGACTTGCGCGGCCTCTGAAGCGCACCAAAGTCAGCCCACAGATGCAGATCGGCGAGACACGTACGGCCATGACAGCGCTCGACAAGCCGAAGTGGATAGGCGTTCCCCCCTCCTCCCTCCTCCCTTCTGCCTCCTCCCTCCTCCTCCTCCCTCCCTCCTCCTCCTTCTTCGAACTTGTTCGTGTTCCGCCAGCTTCTCAGGCGTGCCCCACGGGTGGGCCTCCTGGCCTCGGTGCTCATCGTGTTCAGGCGGTGTCGTGGTTGAGTCACTCTTGTGATGGCGGTAATCCTGGTAATCCTTCTCCCTCCATCCTCCTGCTCCTCCCTTCCTCCTCCCGCCCTCCCTCCTTGTCATCCTGCTCCTCCTCCTCCCCACCACACGCTCTCTGATCGCTTGCACGGCTACGTTTGTTCGGATCTGTGGATTACTGCCAGACCAGGTGGTAGGTTGGCGATTCGGCTGGCTGGTTGGTGACTTAAAGATGGTATGGTTGGCTGTTGATTTGGGCTGGTTGATGGCCGGCTGGCTGGCCCCCCGCATCTGCACTAATGTATGAGGGGTGGTGGCATCGGGGGCGGGCTCCCCTTGTAATTTGCCAGGGCGCGTTGGCCTGGAACCGAGCATCATATGTCATATTCGACGATTCCTGCCATTGCGTCCAAAGCCGACGCTTTCATAAACGGTGGGCCGGTTCAAATGCGGTCCGCCAGCGTGTATCCAAATACAGAGGTGGGCAGCTTCCGTTGGGTGGGTTCGCAGCCCACGTCGTGATATCCAAGAGGTATTGGTCACGGGAACACGCGCGCGTTGTAATTCACAGCCGGCCATGGTTTCGGTTGCACCCATGCGCGTCGTTATTTACAAAAGATGTTGGCATCGCTAGCGTGCGCACGCCAGAATTTATGAGAAATCCATGGCTCGGAAGCGCGCGCATGCCCTGCGTTACGAAGCACCCTGGCTTCGGAAGCGCGCATGCGTCGTGCAACTTGCATGGCGAAGACCCCGACCTCGGGAAGGCGCGTAGGTCGTGATTTACGAGAGCTCTTATCTTCGGGGGCGCGCGAGCAACAAATTTCAATGGGGCCCTAAGTTCGTGAGCGCGAGCGCTTATTGATTTTCGTGTTATGATAACTTTGGATTTCGTACGGTGCAGGAGGAGGAGGCGGGAAAGAGAGGAGGGAGGAGTGACGTGTTAGGAGGAGGAGGAGGAGGAGGAGGAGGAGGAGCATGGGGAGGAGGAGGAGGAGGAGGAGGAGGTACCCCAAAGCCGGAGGGAGCATGGTGCGCAGCTGGTAATGTGCCACTGCTCGGGTCGTGGCGGGTCGCGCGCGTTGCACAAGCAGAAGTATAATTCCTTGAGAAAGCGGTCTCCTGTGTATTCTGAGACTGCCGATTTGAAAACGTACGGTTGTTGATATTTTAGGCAGTTGAGGATGTTACGACATCGCAGTTTTCCTCATTGTCGCGATTAAAGACAATCGCACATTCCAGCAACCGAACCCATGCAGCTTGATACATCCAGCAAGGTGGAGAGCGCCCGGTCTAAGTTACTACGAGCATATTGGTTGCGTTGCCAGCTGAGTTCAGTTGGCGTCGTTGAGACAAGGCGGTGCTCACAGGCGGTATTTCCCATGAGTCGCGTTACACCGAGCTTGCAAATGGGAGGTGTGGGCAAACATGAACGGCGAAAGAAGCATTCCGCAATGAGTGGGAAGTGAGGTCTTGGCATCGTTTCGCTGCCGTTCTTGCAAAACTCCGCCAGCGACGACATGCCGTGCGTGCAGCTTTTCTTTGTATGGAGCGCCCACCTATTCAATTTCAACGCCGCGTTCCTGGTCGCGTTGGCAGAAAGCTCGATTCCTCGTCGTTCCTCTCTTTTCCTTTCTAACTCAACGGATCATGTGCCAATCGCACTCTCCACGTTCGTTGCAACCCTTCGCGCGATTCCTCTCGCCACCGTCTTGTTGTTGTCACACCCGGTACGCTATCATCCAAGTGGAGTTCACCATTCAGCCGGCGTCGTGCGAGTCAGGGAGTGTAGGAGGAGGAGGAGGAGGAGGAGAAGGAGGAGGAGGAGGAGGAGGAGGACGAGGAGGACGAGAAAGAAGAAGAGAAGAGAAGGCGGAGAGTGAGGAGAGGGGGTGGGAACGGGAAAGGGAGGAGGAGGACCGGGACGCCGACGACGACGACGAGACCTTTGGAAAGGCTCTTGTTGTATGTTGCGGAGTTTCTTGGGGGGCTTGTTGGAGGCTTCGGGGAGGGGGGATTGGCATGAGGTTGTATGTGAGCTTCCTGGGGCTCTCGTGTGGCCTCATGAAGACTTCGTGGAGGCACGTTGCGACTCTCGGAGGCGTGGGGGAGGGGACATTTGGGGAGGGAGGGCTGCGGAGTCTTGAGCGGCCTCTTGGACCGTCTTGATTTTTGGAAGCCCAGAAAGTTGATGACGCGAGAAAACCACAAACACGCAGGGGACATCCTGAGTTCTTGTTGCTTCGTCAAGCCCTGTGGGGGTGTCCTGTTGTGAGCTCTAAGTTGGGGAGTTGTCAGTGATTCGAGGTGACTTGAGACCTTTCTGCGCCTTCTGGAAGTCTCTTCTGCGCGGCGAAGCCCGTGTTCAACCGTTTTGGAATACTTCTTGGGCATCCTGGAGGCGTCGGCAGTTGGATTCGGACGCCCCAGGATCTCGACGGGCGCCTTAGGGAGTTCTGAAATCCAGGGAAAGAGGGAACAGGAGGCGGGTTATCAACACGCTGACACGCCCTGCAACCCTGGGCAAGCTGGGGTCGGTGGATTCATGCTAGCTTGCAGCACGTTGTCCGATCGCATGGCAGGTTGCGTGAGTTTGCATGCAGATTTCGTTGGTGCCATCCTCGCGATGCCTTCCGATGTAGGTCCCGGACGACACTTGGAAACAATGCCAAACGGAGCGTTGCAAACTAATGCAAATCAAGGGGCGGCAAGAAGGGGCCGTCGCGAGACACGGCGTACCCCGGTTGTGATCATTGGGCTTTGCATGCAGAGAGATTGGTGACGCCAAACGGGCGTCTCGCTTCAGACGTCGCGGCAATCCAGTTGGGAACGGGTCATGAGATATCCCCTGGTGGTTCCCAGCTGGAGTGCTAAACCCAGCGCCTCGCCCT